AAGAAGAGTTAGAGGAGTTGAGAACACTTGACAATTTCAGCCGGTCTGAAACATATCCTACTCTGATCTTCAACTCACTGGATAAATTTTTCTCCCTAGGAGGTCATTTCAGGTGCTATGACTGTAATGAAAAGGTGAGGGGGTGACAATGTGCAAAGAAATTTCAGGGAAAAAAAAGGTGCCTGTTGCCCCACCCCAAGAGTTTATATTTTCTCAAGGTCTGAGACATTGGCAATTAAGGAAATGACAGTGGCCATCCAGTTCTTCCAGCACCATTTCTTAAAAGGCCATCCCTAGAAACATGGCAGAGTGAGAGACGTCCCCAAATCTCTCTCCTTGAAACAACAATAAGCTGAACATCTAAAACTCAACAAAAAATGCCCAAACTACACACCAGCACATCTGAGCATGGGATATGCGCATAAGAGTTACCACAGGTCAGAACCCTGGGTGTCAGGTGGTGGACTGGGAGAAACAAAGAAGCTGCTTCTTGCAGCTAGTCGGAGTTCCCTGTAGGGGGAGGAGGAACGGGAGAAGATGCAACGAGTTTCCTGAACAGCCCTGCCTGGGAAAGCTGTGTTCTCCATGCAGTCGGCAGCAGTGCCCAGTCATCAGGGCAGAAAGCAGAGAAGCAGAAAAAGCAGAGAAGGGGGACAGCAGAGAAATAACAGTTGATTTTTACCAGCCGTGGTTGCCAAACTGAGGCTGAGCTGCAGCCCCATCCTCCAACCCATAAGGCCCCTCCCCCCATTTCCTACAAGATGAAACACTGCGGAGCCCCAGGGGAATCTGAGTAAACACTACCTAAATTGTTCGCTAAAACTCACAGAGACTGAGACAGAGAGTAGTGGGCATGATTAAACATCTATAAGAGAAAAAAAGGCATTATTAAGGCTTTATATAAAGCAAGAATCCAAGAGGCTTAGATGCCACCTACTGGAAATCAAAAGAAAAACATCTTCTTTGCAACAGGCTAAAGAGAGACCTTTATATAATAAATCTTTCTGGAAAAAAAGCAGAATGCACTTCCATTAATGCCCAGGTGGAGAAATAGTCCATTAAACACCATGAACAACCAAGGACAAGGCATCTCAGAAAGAAAGAGAAAAATCTCCAGAAAACAAGCATATAGACATAGAAAAATGTGACTTCAATGACAGTATTCAGGATGGTACTTCTGAAAAAACTCAATGAGATCCAAAATGATTCATATCAACAATTTCAGGAATTGAAAAAACAACTAGATGAGCAGAATGAGTTCTTTAGCAAGGAGATCGAAACCCTCAAAAAGAACTGAATAGAAATTCTGGAGATAAAGAACACACTGCAAGAGTTGAAAAATGAAATAACAAGCTTGAGAAATAGAGTCAACCAAATGGAAGAAGGGATCAATGATATCGAAGACAGAAATCTAGAAATAAATGAGAAGGAAGAAGAAAGAAATCAAAGAATGAAAAATAATGAAAGAAGTACAAGAACTAGCTGATACCATCAGGAGAGGAAACATAAGAATAATGGACATTATTGAAGGTGAGGAAAAGGAGCAGGTACTAGAAAGCCTTTTCAGACAAATAGTTGATGAGGATTTCCCAAATTAAGCAATGAGCTGAAGCTTGGAATTCAAGAAGTCAACAGAACACCTAATTACCTCAACCCAAAAAGGCCTTCACCAAGACACATTGCATTAAAATTATCAAAAGTCAAAAATTAAGACAGAATTATCAGGGCAGCCAGGGAAAAGAAGACGGTAACCTATAAAGGAAAACCCATAAGATTATCTTCGGGCTTTTCAGCACAAATCTTACAAGTCATAAAAGAGTGGACTCAAATATTCAAACTATTAATGAAAAGAACTACCAGCCAAGAATAATGTATCCAGCTAAGCTCTCCTTTAGATATGAAGGAGAAATAAAGACCTTTCCAGACATACAAAAGTCAAGGGAATTCTCCACTACGAGGCCTGCATTACAGGAAATACTGAAAAAGGTCAGTTCATCTAAAACAAAATAAAACAAAACAAAACAAAAATCATAATTAGGAGTAAGATGGCTAACAAGCAGATAGAAGCAGAGGAATGCAACCCTTACTAAGAATAGGGCATTATAAACTTAAGCGATAAGAAGAGATTTGCTATAGCAAGATAGTAATGAACGTTCAGCATACATAGGGACAAATTGAGACAACGATGACTGAAAAGGGGAGGATTCAAAGATCCAAATTCGCAAAGGGGAATAGAGATAAGGCACGCACAGAAGAAAACACATGACTGTATATGTGTAACTATCTTTTACATATTCGTAATGGTAACCACACACCAAAGATTCAGAACTGAAGTATGTAACATAAATCAAGAAGGACCAGAGGGAAAACCCACAATAGGCAACCAAAATAAAAAGCCATCCCTTCCTCAGGGAAGATTTTTGGTACTTTTGCTGAAAGTTGCTAAGTTTAGTGAAATAAATAGTTATATTAATATCAGAAAAGGCAGATTTCAAAACAAAGGAAATTATTACGAATAAAGAGGAACATGAGATAATCATAAAGGGTTCAGTTATCCAAGAAGACATAACAATTCTTACCAACAGAGCTTCCAGGTATGAGGGAAAAATGATGAAAATTAGGGAGTAACAGACAAATCCACAATTATAGTTGGAGACTTCAATAGCACCTCTTAGTAATAGAGAGAATAAGTAGACAGAAAATCAGTTAGGACGGAATGGCTAAACAGTACTATCAAACAACTAGATCAAATGACATTTATAGAACACTCCATACAACAGCAGAATACACCTTTAGTGTACACGGAACATTCACCAAGATAGACTATATTCTAAGCCATTAAATAAATCTCAAAATTTTAAAAGAGTAGAACTGATACAAAGTATATTCTCAGACTGTAATGGAATTAAACTAGAAAATAATAATAAAAGATGTTGGGAAACTCCTCCAAATATTTCGAAATTAAATATAACACTCTAAATAATTCATGAGTCAATTAGGAAGTCTCAAGGGACATTAAAAACACATTTTGAATGGAATGAAAATATATCAAAATTTGTAGAAAATTGTTAAAGCAATAGCTAGAGGGAAATTTATAGAGTTAAATACTTATATTGGAAAAGGAAAAAAATTTTATATCAATGATTTAATCTTTCACATTAAGAAACTAGAAAAAGATCAAATTAAACCAAAAGTGTATAAAGGAAGAAAATTACAAACATTAGAGCATAAATCAATACAATTTAAAACACAAAAACAACTGAAAAGAATCAATGAAAGTAAATGCTAATTCTTTAAAAAATTAATAAAATTGATAAATCTATAGCCAGATTGCTCAAGAAAAAAATAGAAGATACAAATTATCAAAATCAGGAATGAAAGAGGGGGCATCACAGGCATTAAAATGATAATAAGGGAATACTACAAACAGTTTCATGCCTATAAATTCTATAATTTGGGTGAAAAGGACACATTCCTTGAGAGGCACAAACTACCAAAAACTCATTCAAGAACAAATAGATAATCTTAAAGATTCTATATCTATTAAAGAAATTGATTTTGTACTTTAAAATTTCCCTAAAAGAAAATTTTAGACACAGGTGGTTGCGCAGGAAAATTCTACCAAATATTTAAAGAAGAAATAACACCATTCTAATGTTTTCCACCTTCTAATCTTGTTTTATAGGACCTGCCATCATTACCTTAATACCAAACCAGGCAAAGAAATTACAAGAAAGCTACTGACTTCTATCTCTCATGAACATTGATGCAAAAATTCTAAGCAAAATATTCACGAATAAATCCAGAAATATTTAAAGAGAATACTGCAACACAACCAAGTGGAGCTCATCTCAAGCATATAAAATTAGTTTCATGTTCAAAAATCAACCAATTAAAAACCCACCATATTATCAGAGTAAAAGAAGAATGTACTTAAATATAAATCTAACAAAATATGTGCAATATCTGTAGGCTAAAGATTACAAAACTGATTAATAAAATCAAAGAAATTCTAATAAGTGGAGAGATATACCATATTGATGGATTAGAAGACTTTATATTGTTAAGATGTCAATTGTCCCAAACTTGATATGTAGATTCAATACAATCCCAATAAAGACTCTAGCAAGTTGGTTCTAAAATTTATATCAGGAACTAGAACGGCCAAAACAATTCTCAAAGACAATAACAAAGTTGGAGAATTCACACAACCCAATTTCAACACTACCTATATAATTACAGTAATGAAGACAGTGTGGTATCAGTAAAAAGATAGACATCTATGTCAATGGAACAGAATACGAAGTCCTGAAATAGAAGTAAATATAGTCAACTGATATTTGACAAAAGTGTAAAGGCAAACTAATAGATAAAGAATAAGCCCTGTAACAAATTGTGCTGGAACATAACTGTATGTTTATATGCAAAAAAAAAAAAAGAATCTCAATCTAAACCACACACGTTATCCAAAAACTAACTCAAAATTGGAACAAAGACACTGATGGCATTTCAGTGTAGTTTTAATTTTTATTCTTTTTATACAGTAGACTGAACATCTTTTTGTTGTTTAAAAACCATTGCATTTTTTTGTTATGTGTCTCTTTACATGTTTTGTCTATTTTTGTATTGGAATGATAGACTTTCCTTCTAAAAATTTAGAAATTCTTTAGATGACTTTTTAAAACTTTCCCTGTGATATGAGTCTTTTATTTGTTTTTTGACTTTGCTTATAAAGAACTTTGGCCATTCAGATTTTTTTTTTTTAATTTTAGAAAGGAGTTCTTGAATTATTAAATAGTGAAATTCTTATACAACTTAAAATTTCCTATAAAAGTTAATGTATTTCATTGCACCAAGGGAAAAGCCTTGGACCAAAGTGTGAGAACCACTGTTGGAATTGTCTGCTCAACTGAATTTTCTTTGCCATTCTGTATTAATTAATTTATTCATTCAAAAATATTTATTGAGTTCCTAATCTATGCTGGGCACTGTTATTTGGTGTCCTGAGAGCATAATTAGCTGCATCTAGAGGCCAATGGCTCTTATCTCTGATAGGGTCTTGGAACATGCAATTTTAGTAATGGCCGCTTTGACATCCTTATTTCTCAGAGTGTAAATGAGAGGGTTGAGGATTGGTGTGAGAATAGCATATGCCACATTGCCCATGATGTGGAAGTCAGGGGGCAGGTCAGCCCTATAGGCCACATAGGCTATGGCAATGGATGAGTAGTAGGTACCAACCACCAGGAGGTGGGAACTGCAGGTGGAGAAGGCTTTTGAGCGTCCTTCTTGGGATCTGATGCGAAGCACTGAGGCCAGAATGTGGGCATAGGAGAGAAGCACCAGGAGAAGGGGCAGGAAGGACACCACCATGGCGATGCAGAAGCCCATGAGGGTCTGAGGTGTGGTGTCAGAACAGGAGGCCTGAACAAGAGCCAGATGATCACAGAAGCAGTGGTAGATTAGAGCAATGTTGTTATACACCATCTGGGAGATTTTCACTGCTGCTGGGATGGGCAGGAGGAGGGCAGTGAGCCAGGCACTGGCTGCCAGTATAGCATTGTTCTGTGGGGTCATGTGGACAGGGTAGTGCAGTGGACGGCAGATCGCCACATAGCGGTCATAGGCCATGACCACCAGGATGAAGGCTTCCGAGCATGTGAAGCTTTGGAAGAGGTACATCTGCAATAAGCAGGCAGGGAAGCTGAGGAAGCGGTCCCCAAGGAGGAACAGGGACAGCATCTTCGGGACAGTGGTTGTAGTAAAGAGGATGTCTAGAGCAGAGAGATTGGTTAGAAAAAAGTACATGGGCTTGTGGAGGCTGGGCTCTGCCACCACAGCCACCAGGATCAGGGCATTACCCAAAATGATGAGAATATAGAAGAGGAGGAAAATAAAAAACACAGGGAGAAAGAGGGACTCTGGCAGAGAGGGGATGCCAACCAGGTAGAAGATCGGTGAGCCATCCACTGATCCATTACAGGTTGTGGCCTCCATAGTGAAACAGAGCTGGATTTCTGGGAGATAGGCAGCTGGAACATCTGGACACTGGGACTATCTGGAAACCATAGAAACAAAGGATTTTGGAATGAGATTCTATAATGTTTACAGTTCATGTAAGCACAATTATTTACAACCAACTGTCGAGGACTGATGATGGGCTGTGATATTGACTTTGATCATGTGAACCCAAAATTTCAACCTTTCTTCTTTGGTCAAATATTAGTTATTAGTTAACTAATAATCTACCAAGTAGAAGTCATTATGCTGCATTCAGGTGACACAGAGATAAAATGAAGAAGGTAGGCAAAGTTCCTATCTTTTTGAAGTTTACATTTTACTGGGAAACGTCAGATCCAAACAGTTGAATATTGAATAATGATGGTGAAAAGTGCTTTGGAAAGATTCTACTGGTTTTCACCGTAGCTGCTCTTGCTGCTCAGCAGATGTTCCTAATGAACCACTAGCATATAGAATTCCCTCGCCCCAGCTAAGAAGGTACTACAGTCATCTGGAACCCCAGGAGTCTTGTGAGCCATTGTTTCCAGAGAGGAACACAGTCTTCTTGTGACAAGTACTGATGCTGGAGAGCCTGATGGGGCAGGAGTCCAAAGAGGGACCCTGACCTGGAGGTTCAGTGACCAGGTTCCTGTCTTATGCCACAAGCAAGCCTTCAAGGGCACCACAAAAAGAAAGCAGGAAAGCTCACATTTTATTAAAGTACACACTTAAAAGTGTGGGCAGCTAGCTCAGAGACAGAACCTGCCTTGAGCTGTCTGAGTTATGGGCTCTTGGCAGAGGGGGTGGGGTAGGTGGAGATGATAATGATACTATGATTTGCCAAAGCTGAACAAAGGACAAGGGGAAGATTTAGGAGACTTACCAGGGAGGGGAGGGATGGCCCAAGGCTATCTATCTTGTCTTCCTGGCCTTGGCTTGTTTCTCAGGCTGGAGTCTCATGCTTGAATCAAAACAGAGAGAGGGCTGAATAAGGGACAAGGAAGAAATTCCTGAACTGCACCCTGGAGTGGGATAGGGGGAACTCTCCCAGGCTAACTATCTTGACTCATAACGAACACCCCCGTCCCCTGCCCTGAGAGATTTTTGGACGCGTAGTCATATGGGGTGTTGAGGGACTGGAGGTCAGGCTTCTGTAGCTACTTCAGGCTGAAACAGGGCATTATTCCTACAGAGCCTGGGACTGAAAATCTCTATCTACCTGCCTGACCTAGGATGTCCAGATTTCCCTCCAGGACAGTCTCCCTTGAAGGAATTGGCTTAAAATCCTGCAGCATTGTCATCTTTATGTTGAACTCTTATAATCTGGAGGAGATAAATTTAACAAGAAGATTGAAGAGGCATGAACCAAAGATTAAAAGTAGAATTAAAGTTAGTAAAGGCCCTAAGGCAGGGAGGAACCATATGAGGGGTGGCAAGGTATATTTTAGAGCCTGCCAAATAGACACATCCAGCTGTTAGAGAGACTGTTTCCCTTTACTATTATATTAGAAAGGTTTATAAAAGCATTGGATTCCCATTCTCCTCAGAGGAGCTGAGTATATATTAGGATTAAGAAGATTAGGATCATATTGACAGAGTACTTGGTTATAAGCACAGTCTAGAAAGAATAAGACTGACCAAGAAGAAGCCAAACGTGGTAGGTATTATGGAAGAGATAGGCTAGAGTTCAGAGCCTGACTAAAATCTAGGGAGTTACTGAGAGGAATGTCTCGGGCACAGGTAAAAAGTAGGATAAGAACCTAAAGAAATCCAAGCAGGAGTAAAAGAAACAGGACCTCAACAGCCCTTTGGTTAGTCATTTACTTATCCTGTAGAGGGCTCCCCCTGCTTCTGCTTTTTGATTTGTAGTCTTAGGTCCTCTAGAGCAGGGGTCCCTAACCCCTGGGCCAGGACACTATCCGTTATCTGTGGCCTGTTAGGAACTGGGCCACACAGCAGGAAGTGAGCGGGCAGGCAAGCAAAGCTTCCTCTGTATTTACAGCCGCTCCCCAGCACTAGCATCACCACCTCAGCTCCACTTCAGATCATCAGGCATTAGGTTCTCATAGGAGCGCCAGTCCCTGGTGCCCAAAAGGTTGGGACCACTGCTCTAGAGGTTCACAGGTGTAGTCTTCTTCTTGGTGTTCCTATAAGAGCTCGAGGAAAAAGGTTTTATTCTTGATAAATGAACCCAGGACTGTATACTCTGTTGTTATCGCAGTAGGTGTGGAGAGGAGAACCTGATATAGTCCTTTCCATTTTGGTGTTAACTGGTCCTCTGGAGATCTTCTTTCCAAGTTTCAAGGAGAACTCAATCTCCAGGAGGTGCGGTAGAGAGATGCTCAGAAGTATCTGGGGAAGAAAGGATCAGATTCTCCGGAGAGCCTGTTGGACTTGTCCCAGTCTGACAATATATTTTAGTTGATCCTGGACCTCTGAGTCAAAATATGTCAGAGGATAGAAAGGGCCTCCCTACAGCATCTCAAAAGGACTTAACTTTAGGTTGGATTTAGAAGTACCTTAGGAGAGCTATGGAGAGATGCCAGAGTCAGGTCTCAGAGGTTTCCTGGCATAATTTGGCCAGGATCTTTTATAAAGTATAGTTGGTCCTTTCTACCTTCCCAGAAGATTGTGGTCTCCCGGAGGCATGAAGGTGATAGTTGATGCCTAAGTCCTGAGATATCCGTTAGGGGACTTTGGCCGTGAAGGAAGGGCCATTATTGCTCTTGAAGGCTCTGAGTCAGTTCAAATCTTGGGATAATTTCCTTAAGGAGGACCTTAGCCACTTTAATACCTCTTTCAGTCTGGGTTCTTTCTATCTACCTGATGAAGGTGTCAAGAAGTACTAACTGGTATCAGTAACCTTGAGAAGGAGGCATTTGAGTAATATCTAATTGCCAATCTTCTCCTGGAAAGGTGCCTCTCCTCTGTACTGGATGTAAGAGCTGAGGGGGCTTTGTCTTTCCTCCTGCTTTGTTGACAGAGCAAATGGTACAAGCATGGGTGATCTCTTTCATGGTCTTACTTTGGCCCTTACCATGAAATAGTTCAGGTAATAGAAATTAGGTGGCATCACATACCAGGTGGAGGGAATCATGGAGAGCTTTTAAAATTATCCCTTAATCCCTAGTGGGAAGCAAAAACTTCTGATCTTTTGTCCACCAATTTTCACTGTTTAAAGTGAAACCTTGTTCCCTTACCTAGGAATTTTCACCAAGGGTGTATTTTGGCCTATTGGGTCAGGGGAAGGCCTGTGGGATTAAGGCCATCATGGGGACACTTGAGTTAGTGGCCCTTTTAGCTGTTTTATCGGCAAGACAATTTCTCCTTGAGATGTCCATGGTATCTTTTTGGTGTTCTTTGCAATGGAATACTACCTCTTGAAGGAGGTTTACAGCTTCTAGCAGGCTGAGAATTTCAGAACCATACTAAATGGGGAAATTTCGTGCAGTTAAAAGTTTCTGTTCTTTCCACATAGCAGTATGGGCATGTAGGACAAGGAAAGCATAATTAGAATCCTTGTATATGTGAACTCCTAGGTCCTTACCTAACTAAAGTGCATAGGTTAGAGCTATCATTTCAACCTTCTGGGCAGAGGTGCCAGGTGGGAGAGGACTGGCTTCTATAGTCTGCTGAAGGCTGACAATAGTATATCTAGCCCTTTTAATTCCTCCTTCAACATGACTGCTTCCATCATGTACCATTCCTCATTTGGGTTTTCTATGGCCTGGTCTTTTAAGTCAGGCCAACTAGAAAAAACCTGTTCAGTTGTCTCTACACAGGAATGAATAACTTCCTGGTCTATGGGATTTTCCTCTGGCATCCGAGTGGCAGGATTTAGGGACTGGCATACCTTTAAAATAAAGTAAGGGGCACCAAGAAGGATAACTTGATATTTAGTGAATCTTCTCTCTGTCAGCCAGTGGTGTCTTTTGGCCTCAAGGACAGTTTGGACCTGATGTGGGGTCTGGACCTCAAGGGGTTGCTCTAGGGTAAGCTTGGAGGCTTTTTCTGTTAGTAGGGCTGTTACCGCTACTGCTCACAGACAGCTAGGCCATCAAAGTCCAGTTGTTTAGAAAAATAGGCTACCAGAGGATATTTCCTAGCTTTTGGGTGAAGACCCCTAGGACAATTTCTTGTCTTTCTGCTGCATATAAGGTAAAGAGCTTTTCTAGATTGGGGAGTCCGAAGACCTGTTTAAGGGCCTGGAAGGCTCTCTGTAGCCCTTGGTTCCAATCTAATGGCTCTGAATCGGGTCCTTTTGTTGCCTTATACAGGGGTTTTGCTATTAACACAAATCTAAGGATCCAAATTCTGTAAAAACCTGCCATTCCTAAGAAGGCTCTTAACTGTCTCTAAGTTTGGGGAACAGCCAGATTAAGGATGGCTTTTTTTCTAGCCTATGGGGAGGGACTGAGACCCATGAGTGAGATGATAGCCTAAATACTTAACAGTTGAAGAAGAGATTTGGGCCTTAGATGGGGATACCCAATAGCCTTTCTCCCCTAGAAAGTTGAGGAATAAGATAGTATTAGTATTAGAATCTTATTTAGTGGGGCTACAAATTAAGTCATTGACATATTGGAGTATTGTTCCCTGGGATAGTTTGAGTTCCTAGAGGTTTTGTCCTAGAGCCTGTCCAAAGAGGTGTGGCCATCCTGAAACCCTTGTGGAGGATAGTCCAGGTGTACTGGGCAGTTTCCTGAGCGTCAGGATCTGTCCATTCAAAGGCAAACAACGGTTGGCTATCAGGGTAAAGGGGAATGCAGAAAAAGACATCTAGAAGGTCTAACACTGTAAACCATTTTTTATCTGAAGAAACTTGAGTAAAGAGAGTGTGAGGATTTGGGACTTAGGGTGGAGAGGAATTTACAGCCTCATTAATAGCCCTTAGATCCTGGACAATATGATATCCTCCAGATGGTTTTCTTACGGTCAGAATAGGAGTAGGATAGGGAGACTGTCAGGGGACTATTAGTTCATGGCAGATAAATTTGTCAGGTAGAGTTTTTAGCCTCCTGTGAGCTTCTGA